CACATGAGGTTGTTTGGGGAAGGCTATTTTCCACAGAAATATAGTCCTCTTCACTCTCAGGGTGGGGCTCTGCATTGCCAATGGGAAGGGAGTGGTGCTGAGCCACAGACACAGGAGGTTAGGATGGGAAATAGCGCTCCCCAGGATTCTCCAACTGCCCACACTGTGGTCTGTGCCAGAAGGAGTGTTTCATGGATAATGAACCATTGGCCCACACGAGCCTGAAGACTGGCTGGCTAAGGTTCTTGCTTAGTATAATGCAAGTGGTATGGTGAATGGACAGAGGACAGACTCTGGAGTCGGATAATTCAGGGTTTGAACCCAACTCCTGATTTTTTTTGTTTTGTTTTTGGCTCTGAGCCATTGAGCAAGTTATTTAGCAGCACTGTACTTCAATTTGTAAAATGGGGATAATTATTCCTCCTTCTTACTGCTACAAAGACTAAATAACACATGTGGAAACCTCAGGCATCCAGGTAGTTAGCAAGATTTCCTTCCTCCTTACCCTCTTGAGTATTCATGGTGATAAATACTCACCAGGAAAAAGGAAAGAGCTCTTGATCAGAGTCAGGATTTCCAAGTTTGGTCCAGACTCTGCCTTACAAATGCCACCAGCTCCTCCATAGGGCTGTTAGGAGGATAAATTAGGTCGTGAATGTGAAGGCTTTTGAAAGTGGCTTTATCTGTGGTCTGTTGACATCTGCTCTTAATAGCTGAAGGAAGCAGCTTGGTATATCAGATGTACTAACTGCAGATCTCTGGTTAGTTATATTGCCCCTCAGGTCCTGTATTAGTTTCCTGTGGCTATTGTAACACATTACCACAAACTTATTGACTTAAAACAACAGAAATTCATTCTCTCATCATTCTGGAGGCCCAAGGTCTGAAATTTAAGATATTGGCAGGGCCAAGCTCCTTCTGAAAGCTCCAGGGGAGAATCTTTCTGTGCCTCTGCCAGCATCTGGTGGTCTCTGGTGCTCCTTGGATTGTGGCTGCACAGCTCTAGTCTCTGCTCTGTCTTTTCACACGGCCGTTTTCATTGTGTCTCTGTGTGTCCTTTTTCTATTTCTTATAAAGATGCACTACTCTCATTGGATTTGGGGATTACCCTAATTCACCCAATATAATCTCATCTCAATCCTTACCTTAATTATATGTGAAAGAGCCCTATTCCAAATAAGGCCACATTCTGACGTTCCAGGTGAAGAAGAATTTGGGGGCAGGGAGGACTCTATAGAATCCACTTTAGAACCTGAGACCCTTCATCTAAACCATTTCTGACCCTCATTCAATGTATGTTTTTATTGGGTTCTAGACAGCACCAAACAGGAAAATTCTTCAGATAGTGCCTAACATTAGCTCAGTGTATCTGTGCAGAGGGGATCCAGGAGATCAGAGTGGAGATACTTCATGGCGAAGCTGGAGAAGTCCTACTTCTGGAAATGAGAGGAAGAGCAAAGTAAACAAGAGAATAAGTGGCTGAGAGAGAACGGTTTGACATGAATAGATGGAGCAGGCATTCTAGGAGCTGTATGGCTTGAGGAGAGAACACCAGTCTTGAAATCAGACCTGGATCACTGGTTTCCCAATATCCCAACGATCCCAATATCCTCACATCATTTAGTTATTTTGACTGATATTTTATAAATATGTAGACAGTATGCCATTCACTCCACCATTTGGATTCTCAGTTATTGTAACAGTGGTGTGTTGGTAAATGATTAACAACCAGATCTCTGAGAAAGAATGTATGCATATATGTAAATGAGAGTGTTATGAATGTTGCTTATATGAAAATGTATAACATACAATTTATAAAATACAATGTATATTTTAATAAAATGTACAATGCCTTTTATTGTAAATTCCATATAGTCACAGATTCTCACAGGCTGCTTGCTTTCATATTGGCCTAATTCATAACCACAGCCAAATTATGGTTACAATCGACGATAGAATGTAGTTCCAACATGAATGTTGGTTAGTGTCTTTTTTTCAAGTTAAAGAACCGTGAAACGACAAAATATATGTTGGAACATCACTTGCTCATCAGTGACACTAGTGACATTTTGCTGAATCAGATGATAGTTTTTGAATATTGGAAAAATATTTCCTCAGTTTTTAATGCTATTCCCTATGTAAGGGCCACAGCCATGGCACACATTGAAGTTTACTCTGCATCACTATGTTTTCTCTATTACTTTCTTACATCTACAGTCAACAAAACAATCAAGTTCTGATTTATAATGCTTGCTGATTTCCATGGTATAAACTCTCACCATGGCCAGTTTCAAGCTCCCAGCATTATACCATTGAATGCAGAGTGAGGAAGAGAGGTCCAGAAGCACCCATAATCCAGTATTTTTTTTCCACTGTAGAGATATAAAAGATGTCAATTACCTCAAGAACATAGATATCAGTAATGTCATAAAATAATTAGGAAGCCATGAGCTTTGAGATTTTATTCCCTCTGTTTTTAATATAATTTAATTATAAAGTTTTTTTAAAGGCAGGGTCTTGTTCTGTTGCCCAGGCTGGAATGCAGTGGCTATTCACAGGCGTATTAGTCCATTCTTACACTGCTATAAAAATACAACTCAAGACTGGGTAATTTATAGAGGAAAATGTTTAATTGACTCACAGTTTCCCACTGCCAAGGAGACCTCAGGAAACTTACAATCATGGTGGAAGGCAAAGGGGAAGCAAGGATCTCCTTCTCATCACAGTAGGAGAGAGAAGTGCGGGCAAGAGCAGAAAACACTGCCTTATAAAACCATCAGATCTTGTGAGAACTCACTCACTATCACAAGAACAGCATGGAGGGGAAGCTGCCCCCATGATCCAATCACCTGCCACTTGGTCCCTTTCTTGACACTTGGAGATTATGGGGATTACAATTTGAGATAAGATTTGGGTGGGGACACAAGGCCAAGCCACATCGATATGCATGATCATGATAGTCTGTTCTCACACTGCTATAAAGAAGCAACAGCCTCAAACTCTTGGGCTCAAGTGTTCCTCATGCTTCAGCTTCCCAAGTAGATGAGACTACAGGCGTGTACCACCATGCCTAGCTTAATTGTAAGTTTATATAATTTAATTTTATATGTTTAATAATGGCCATGTTCATCACGCACCTCATAAGATTCCTGAAAATCTATTTTTTATTTTTATTAAAACATTTTTTTGTAGACATGATGTCTTGCTATATTGCCCAGTCTATTTTCAAACCCTTGGCCTCAAAGCTTCCTCCCACCTAGGCCTCCAAAAGTGGCAGGGTTACAGGCGTGCCACTGTGCCCATCCAGATTCTTGAAAGTTTAACAGTTTTATGAGTTTGTACATGCTGGCTTGAGCACACACCACCACTGGGAAGAGTTGTGAGGAGGACAGTTGAGTTCTGGGGAAAGGAAGGAAGAAAACAGTGAGGATAAAAAGCAAGTTCACATATCTCACCTACTTTCATTACCTGAATCCATGGGGAGGCCCATCAGAGAGTGCCTGTAACCTGTTAACAATGGACTCTAAAAACTTCCCTACCCCTCCAATTCTCCCTGTGAGCACTGGTTACACTTCCAGTGTCCCATTCGTATAGCTTAACTCAGGAAAGAGGACAGTCTCTTCCATCTGCCAGTACTAGTTCCTTCTCCTCATGAAAAGTTAGACACAAACTCCAAAATAAAGGCAACTCTCAGAACACAACACAGCCCCAGTTAAATTAAAATGGCTTTTCTCTAAAAGACAGGCAATAACAAATGTTGACAAGGATATGGAGTAAAGGGAACCCCCGAACACTGTTGGTGGGAATATAAGTTAGTATAACCACTGTGGAGAATGGTTTGGAGGTGCCTCAAAAAACTAAAAATAGAGCTACCATATGACTCACAATCTCACGACTAGGTATATACCTAAAAGAGAAGAAATCAGTATAGAGAAGAGATGTCTGCACTCCCATGTTTATTACGTGCTATTCACAATAGCCAAGATTGGAAGCAACCTAAGTGTCTATCGCAGATGAATGGATAAAGAAAACGTGGTACATATACGCAATGGAGTACTATTCAGCTACAAAAGAATGAGATCCTGTCATCTGCAACAACGTGGATGGAACTGAAGATCATTATGGTAAGTGAAATGAGCCAGGCACAGACAGACAAACTTTACATGTTCTCACTTAGCTAGAAATTAAAATGATTGAACACACGGGCATAGGGAGTAGAGGGACGGTTACCAGAGGCTGAAGGGTAGTAAGGGCTGGGAAAGAAGTGAGGATAGTTATTGGGTACAAAAAACAGCAAGAATACATAAGAACTAGTATTTGATAACACAACAGTGTGACTATAGTCAATAATAATTGCACATTTAAAAATAACTAAAAATATAATTGCATTGTTTGTAACACTAAGGATAAATGTTTGAGGTGATGGATACCCCGTTTACCCTGTGTGATTATTACACATTGCATGCCTCTGTCGACATGTCTTATATACCCCGTACATATGTATACCTGCTATGTACCCACAAAAGTTAAAAATTAGAGAAAAAACAACAACAACAACAAGGAGATTGAACTGGAGGGATGGAGCTGTGGGAGAAGATTTGTCCTACATCCCAGCCCTGGGAGGGAATCCACACACACGGAAGAAGACAAACCAGGAGCATGAGCCACTAAATTATGCCACGCTGCATTCACCGGGGTCACAGGGTTTTTTCCAAGTGACCTGCACTTGCCCATCCCATCTCTCTGTGACAGTGACACCAGCACCAGACTGCACGTTGAGGTGTTATCTGAAATTACAAAAAAACAGAAGAGGTCTATGAGCTCATCACAATGCAGTCATCTAAGTTCAGCTGTGAACTGCCAAATTTGAGGAGTGACCCAATGAAACATCTTTTCTTTGCAATCCGAGAAGACTTACAGTAGAGAACTGCTCAGAGAATCTGTGACATCTGGTTCCTGGAGACAGCTAAGGAAAGAAGGAGGGGTGCCTGTTTCTGCCCAAAGCCGGGCTATGGCTGATGTGACTATACCGCTCCTTTCCTGACTCCCGCAGGCTAAGTGCTTGGCTTCTTGAGAAGCATGCTTCTTGAGAACAAAAAAAGTGATTTAAAGCCTCATGGGAGATGAGCAATCCTCAAGACACACAGAAAAAGTCCCAGTGATACAGGAAGCGGTTCAGGAACCTGCTGGTTCCTGATACATAAATTAGACAGCAGAGGCGCACTGCATGACACAAAGCTCGCTTCTGCCTGGCGTCTGTCAGCAGCTGTCAGGCTCTGGCCAGGACCCCTTTTTTCTCCTTACTGGCTGATGGATCCTAAGGGACTCTTCTCCTTGACCTTCCTGCTATTTCTCTCCCTGGCTTTTGAGCCAAGCTACGGAACAGGTGAGTGTTCATCTGCCTGAGGTTTTGAGTCCCATGTTAGCTGCCAGGAATCAGCGAATCTTTGTTGATGGAGAGAAGGTGCAGGGCTGGGGATTGTGCTTCCTCACCTCTACCTTAGGGACTGGCTCTGAGTTTCAACTGCCTGTTTCAAAGAGGAAGGAACAGTATAAGTTCCTGGGCCCTTGGGTTTCCAACCCTCAGCCTCACCAGTTTCCAAAGAAATGAGGAGCTCTATGCCAAAGGCTCCAGTCACTTTTCTGAGCAGCTTTAGGGTGACAGGCTCTGGTAGAAGTCCTGGTTGAGTGGTTGGTTTTGCATGGTCATCCTTCTGGCAAAGACCCAGCCTAGTGAGACTGAGCTGGATGCACTGAGCTCTGGGAGATGATTTGCCCTACATCCCTGACCTAGGAGGAAATCTGTGCACACGCAGGCCGACAAAGCAGCAGCATGGGTCAACAGAAAGCTTTGGCTAGAGTGGGAAGAGACAGTAGAAGTGAAAACTCCAAGTCTTTGGCTGAGAACAGGCAGTGGCCACAGTGTGGTCATACTCGTGACTACTTTCTTGGAAGAGAAGGTCCAAGACAGCAAGTGGGGAGAAGCTGGGATTTCTGGAGCCTAGGGCTGGTTAACGGTATGTAGGAAATGCAAATTGGGAACCCTCAGAGAGTAGTTCCAGCCAGAAGGCCAGGCAAGAGCTACTTTTGGATCTGGGCTCTGCTCCTGTCTTTCTGGCTGTCTTCTTCCCAAGGCAGACTATTGCTTTCTGTTTAGAAGTATCAGGTATATGACAAAAGGAATTTGAGAAGGAAAAAGCCAAGCAAGAAGTGGACTTTGGGCTGCCTGTGTGAGTGGGGTGAGAATCTCCTTCTGTTTGTTTGTTTAGACTGTGGGAGGTAGCCTGGAGTAGAAGAGACGGCATTACGGACAGGGGGGAAATCCTGAGGTCTAGGGTGTTTTAAGTTTGGGATTTTCATGACCACAAATCCAATATAGACTTTTCCAGGAAGAGCCCTGAGATATGCCAGGGATGTGTCTTTTACCAGACAGCCAAACGAGCAGGACTTGCTCAGCCCACTTTCTTCTGGAATCTGCAGACCTATGACTCATACCTTCCAAGGTCTAGGAGAGTAGGAACTGGGCTCAGGGCTCAGAAACCAAATCCAGCCACTTTAAGTGGTCACACAGAAAGCCAAGTCTCCCTTGTTGCACCCAATTTGTGACTGCACCATTTTTGGGCACTTCTTGGTGACTGTTAGGAGCAATGGTGCTGAACTGTGAGCTGGACTTTTCCATCTCTGTGCTTGCTAGCCTCTGGGACCACCTTGCCCATAGCATCTTAGGCACTGCTGACCGATAACTACTCCTATTGAAGCTTTGGAGGTCAATGAGAAGCAGCCTAGCCCCACAAGGCAAGTCTATCAATCGGAGGCGGCATGTTTTCTTCTCTGAAATAGTCACACATTTTTTTCAGTGTTTTTATTTTTAAATGCCCACCCTTTTGTGAAACCCCAATAAAACCCAGACAGAAATGCTTTGCAAGTGGGGCAGGTTAGTCATGACAGATTTGCCCAAGCAAGAAGCTTGATTCTTGTAAAACCGGCACCCACTTCCATTCTCATTTCCACTCAGCTCGACTTCTAATTCCCAGTCAGCATTGTAAAAATCAAAAAGTCCACATGTTCATTTCCTAAGTAAATTTTTCATTTTCCCCAATGAGATTTTTTTCAGTAGACTTTATTTTTTAGAGCAGTTTTAGGTTCACAGAAAAATTGGGCAGAAAGAACAGAGATTTCCCATATACCCTCTGCCCCATGCATGCATAGCCCCCCCTTCATCAATATCCCCCATCAGGGTGGTACATTTTTTATAACTGATGATCTTACCTCCATGAGTTTTTTTATTCCTCCATGCAGGTCCTCTGCACCTCCTTCCCACACTCTGGGGGGAAGGTGAGGGACAAGTGTGTGGGTTCTAGACTTGGCCTAACCTTGTGTGCTTAGTGACCCATTCTATCCCCAGATGTCAATCTAGGCACTTCTATTTCTCTAAAACGTTAATATTGTGATGCGATGCTGTCAGCTTCACTGTCTCCAGCACTGGGCTGGAAATCAGAGTATCAGGGCTAATTGGTTTTATCCATAGATTGATTTTGAATGATCCCATTCAGCAACTATTAAGGGCACATGATGTGGCAGCCATTGTGCAAAGGTGCAAGGTGAGAGGAAAACAAAATTAACCACAACTACTGCCCAGCACCTGACACTGTGTCTGTACCGAGAGCCTGTCCACAAATGTTTGTTGCGTGAATAATATCAGTATATACTGCATACTTGCTCTATACCAGGCACTGTTCTAAGTGTTTTCGGTGTGTCAGTCATTTCATTTTCACACCAACCCTATATGATACGTGTGTATTATTGATACCATGACAACTTTATAAATGAGGAAAGGGCACAGAGTAGTTTAGCAATTTCTCTGTGCTCACATAGTTGTCTGATTCCAGAGGCTTCAATGAGTGAAACTGGACAAGCCTATGTTTGGGAAGCAGGGGTAGGGGGAATGCTAAAATTTGTATCCAGGTCCCATGGTAAAGATTAGCATGTGCGAGCTATAATTGAAGCATATGAGTTGAATGGAATTGAATTAAAATAAACTGAAGTATAGAAAATTTCAAAAGGTGAGAGACTGATAAAAATCAAAGAAGCATGTAGAGGGCATATAAGAAGTATTTGACCTGGAATTTGGAAAATGAAAACTTTTTCTCATCACGCCAATGTTCATGTAAATTTTGTTAACTAGCTTGTTTATTGATTATCATATCCATAAAACATGTCATGTCTATGAAACTTCAACAGTACAAACAAGTATTTAGTGAAGACTAATCTCCCTTCCATACCTCAAACTGGAGGCAACCACTGTAGCCAGTTTCTTGTGTGTCTTTCCAAATGTATAGATCTTCGTGTTTGATAAATTGGTAGGGTGACTATAGTTAACAGTCATCTATTGTACATACCAAAATAGCTGAAAGAGAATAATTCACATGTTCTTAGCATAAAGAAAAGAGAAATACTCAAGGTGATACATATCCCAATTACCCTGATTTGATCTTTACACTTCATATGGGTGTATCGCAGCACATGCACCCTGAAAATACGTACATCTATTATGTATCAATTTTTAACATGGCAAAGAAGAAATCAAGACTTAAAGATAAAGAGGGTAGGGAAATAAAACTTATCTGGACCTTTCAGTGTCCTGGTGAAGAATACTAGCTTCCTGATGCTTTTTTCATACCATGATAATTAAATCTGTAGACATTTGTATAAGTAATTGCTCTGATCCAAATGAATAATAAAACTTTTCCCAAGAGGACAAAATGGTTATATCCTGAACAAGGTCCCTAGGTTAAGTGCCCAAGGTGTCACTATCTCCTAAGCAGGACAGCATAAACTTGTGCCATCATCATGCAACATGCAAGAGGGAATGCACCTGGAGACGAGTCCCAGGCCTTGCCGTAAAAGCTAAGACATGTCAGGGACTGGCTGGCTCCTGGGAGATTTATTTACCCACCAAAGTGTTGGAGTAAGGAGAAGACCTTTAGGAAGGGGAGTGGGGATAGCCGCGTCCTTCCCCTTTATAGGTAGGGAAAATAATTTGTGCTTGTTTCTTGCCTATGGAGTGTCTGGTTACTCACATAGAACAATTGACCTTGCTTTTCATCACATCATCCTAGGAGGAAGGGAGGCCAAAGCATTTACTATTTACTGTGAGTCATTTAATAAGAAAATTGACTCTAATCCAGAATATCTCATGCGCAGATTGAGAAGGAGTATTCCATAAAAATCCAACCTATCCAACCTATTTATTTGGGGCTAAATTTTTAATATTCATTTTTATTGATTTTATTCCAAATCTGCACAGGCAGAGGCAAAGTGTTTCAAGTGTTCGGGGCAATGACAAGTGGTCCGCTGTACCTGAAGCCTAGAGTTCATATTTAAGGCACTTCCATGTCCTCAGCTGGCAAGTGGGGAAAAGGGTCCCCACCACTTTCCTCCGTAACATACCTCTTAGGGATGTTCTAAAGGCAAATCAGAGTACATTCTGATTTTGGAGTGAGAAGAACTTGGACTCTGTGTTGTCATTAGCTCATTCATTCATTCATTCATCCCATTCTGTTTTATTAATTCACTTGAGCAACAAGAATTTACTGAGCTCCAACTATGTCCCAGGTGGCTGTTAGGGATACTGCAGTGAATAAAACAGACACAGTCCCTACTGTTGGAAGCTTTTAAGAGTAAGGGATCACGGGCATTGAACCAGAGTTGAACATGTGGTGAGTGATATGAAGGAGGGCATTCGTTGTCCATTGGAAGCCTGTGGCAGGAAAACCCAACCTAAGCCAGGAGTCAGGAAAGTCTTTCCTATGAAAGAGATGTCAAAATGGAGACCAGCAGGATGGAAGTTGTTAGCTAGGTAAGTAAAGGGTGGTAATAGAGTCTAAGTCTAGGGAAGGTACATGCTAATAGTCTAAGATAGAACCAGCAGTGTCAAAGAATAAAAATAGGACTTTGACTGATGGGGATACAGTTTAAAAAGCAAACCCAGACAAGTTGTCTTTTCTTTCTGAGCCAAAACTTACCAAAAGAACTGTGGAGCCCATGAGTTCTGTTCCTTCTCTACCTGAAAGAATGCTGTAGCAAGGTGCTAAAAGCACCTGTGAAAGTATCAGGGCTCGGCAAAAAATATAATACAATAAAATAAAAAGGGTTACCATTAGGTAGAAGCCCATCTTGTGAAAGGGTTGGCTAAATCCTACTATTAATAATTTTTGGTCAAATTCCATAGGCCCATGTGAATCACTCACTTTTCGAAGTAGAATCACCCATGAAGGAAAGTGAGTTGGTGTTAACAGCTACACATGTTTCCTCCCAGACTCTCTTAGTAAACAAGGGCTGACTGAATCACAGACACACTGGAAAACACTCATCAGGCGGCAGGATGTTTCAGGAGCAGGGACGCCACTTGAGGGGTTTTATGAACCACTTTAAAGCCCCCACTTATTTTTCCACGTATGCTTAGGTGAGGGTGATCTCAAGTACTCCCTCCAGACCCTGACACTCACACACTCAGGCGTTGCGTCATCATTCTTGATGTGGGTTGTGGGGTGCAAGGGTCTCTTCCTGATGAATTTTTGGTTTCACTCCTCATGACTGAGTATGCACAAACCACTCAGTCTCTCTCATCTGCCCCTCCCTTTTCCTCTTTCTCCTGTTTTCTTTCTTTTATTTTGTCTTTGATTTTTTTGGTTATTCCCTACCTCTCTTATATCCCTCTTTCTCCTCCCCCCACCAACTCCAAGTTCTGAAAGCAACCAGGGTGCAAAGAGTCTGCAGGGTTAGGTGGGAAAGGGTGCATGGGACCCATTGTGGGGAGTGGTGGTGATGGGTTATGGTCTGAAAATGAGAATCTTTATTCTTTTTTTTCTCCCTATCAAAGTTGGCCTTAAAAATCATCACTATGCCACCAATTCTTAATCTTGTTTTGAATCTTAGATCTCTTTAAGAGGTGGCATTTATGGATGTGCTCCCAGAAAAATATACATATGCTCATCCACACAACTTTTTATACAGAAGTTTGGAAATTCATACTTTCACATATGGCTCTAAATTTTTTCGCATTTCTTTATACATAGAAGTTTAGGTTCAGGATTCAAGAGGTTACTCTCTTAGGTACTATGCCTACACTTCAGGTATGTGGCCACCAAAGGGGTCACATTATCTAGACATTCAGGCATCTGTAAGTGTGGCTGGAAGAAAATCCAACATGCTTCCCAATTTATTAATGTAAAAACAACTGCCACCACAATAACTATAATGTTCCTCATCTCATCAAGCAGCAGGGGAGAGCACTCTGTTTTAAGGTTAATGTATTAGCAATATTTTAAAAAACAAATGCCTAATTGCCTTTCTCACTTTTCCTTAACAATTATGAATTTCAACCACTGGAATCCTGATTTTAGCCCAGGTAGATTGCTTTTTCTTCTTCCCCAGTCACTGAATCTTCAATCTACTGTTAGCTGAGCTCTTTACTGAACGATGTTGGGATTTCAGGGTATTTTGGTAATGAGAATTGGCCAATGTGTCCAATTTTCCAACAGCTCATCTTAGCCACAAGTCAGTTGTCAAAGACTCTCTTCTAGGTAGCTGCATTACTTAAGCTGATGGTTCTATTTTACTCTTCCGACTTTCTTATCAACTAGTACAATCTATGCTCTCTTTGAGTCATGGGCTCCTTTTATGAACACTAGCTTATGATTATATATGTACACACACATATACATATATATATATATATATATATATATATATATATGTTAGACAAAGGTAAATAAGAGGCTTTGGTCAGGTAAGATGGTTTTCAGCATTCATAAATTGAACAGATGTTTATTAAACGCCTCCTATGTGCCAAGCACATGGCACCTGTTGGTAGGTCCTGGGGTCAAAATAGTGAACAAAATGAAGTTTTTCCTCTTGAGGCATTTGCAATTCTAGTGGGAGAGACAAAAATAAAACAAACAAATATATAATATAAGGCAGTGGTAGTGCAGAAATAAACAGAAAGTTATTTTAGATAGATGGTCAGAGGAGTCCCCTCAGAGGAGATACTGTTTTAAGCAGATACCTAAAATAAAGTGAAAGAATGAGCTATTGGCCTGGTGCGGTGGCTCACACCTGTAATCCCAGCACTTTGGGAGGCCAAGGCAGGTGGATGACGAGGTCAGGAGTTCAAGACCAGCCTGGTGAAGATGGTGAAACCCCATCTCTACTAAAAATACAAAAATTAACGGGGCATGATGGCAGGCGCCTGTAATCCAGCTACGCGGGAGGCTGAGGCAGGAGAATTGCTTGAACCCAGGAGGCAGAGGTTGCAGTGAGCCGAGATCATGCCACTGCACTCCAGCCTCGGCAACAGAGTGAGACTCTGTCTCAAAAAAAAAAAAAGAGAGAGAGAGAGAGAGAAGAGATTATCCAGAGAGAGGAACACCAAACCAAAAGCTCTGAGATAGGAATGTTCTTGGTGGGCTTAAGAAACAGCCAGGATCCCGTGTGGCCATAGCGCAGTGAACAAAGAGGACGGCAGTAAGCGGAGTTGGAACAGTGCCAGGGACTGGGTCTGCAGGGCCTTTGAAGCCATATCAATAATATATGGTTTTATTCTATTGGTGCCAGAAAGCCATAGAAATGTAAAAGCAGGAGAGAGACAGAATAAGACAATCTTTTCTTTTAGGTTTTAAAAGATTACCCTATTCATCGTACAAATGCAGGGAGATCAGCTGGAAGAAGATGGCAGTACCCAGGCCTGGGATGATGGTGGTGGAAATGCAGGAGGTGTGAAGGGCTCAGGTACCAGACATATTTTGAAGTCAGAGCCAGGAGGATTTGCTGTTAAAATGAGTGTGGAGCATGCGAGAAAGAAAGGAGTCAAGGATGTTTCCAGTGTTTTGTCCTGAGAAACTGGCTAAATTACAATGTTTGCAGAAGGTGTTTTGGAACCAAGAGTTTGTTTGCTAAGTTGGAAATGCCCTTTGGACTCCAAGTCCTGTCTTGTGTAGGCAGTTGGGAGTACAGTGAAGGGTTTGGTTGGGAGATATATGTCGGTAGCATCCCAGAAATATGTCAGACTGTGAAACTGGGTGAGAAACTGGATGAGTGTGGATGAGGATGAGAACTCTGAGTAATGGGATGCTCCAGTATTTAGAGGTCCGGAAGAGCAGAAGGTTCCTGCCAAGAAGACTGAGCAGAGGCAGCCTATGGGATAGGAGAAAAACCAGGAGAGTATGGTGTTCCCCGAGCCAAATGAAGACAGCGTTTCAAGAAGGAATGGATGAACTATGTCAAGTACCCCTGAGAAAGCAAGTAAGATAAGAACTTTGACTTGGCTTAGTGGAGTAGACAGTGACCTTGACAAAAGTGGTTCCAGTGAGCAGTCGGGAAGAACACCTGTTTATAGTGGGTCCAACAAAAAACGGGTCTGGACATAGGAAAAGAAATTATAAACACACATTAAAGCACTTTGCTGTAAAGGAAAACAGAGTAATGGAGAGGTAGCTGGGGATGGACCTGGGATCAGGGGAGAGATTTTTAATATAAAGGAAACTATAAGTTAACATGTTGTGCATTGATGGAAATAACGTAGTAAAAAAGCTGACAACACAGGGGACAGAGGCAAGTGCTAAAACAAAGCCTTGAAGTAGGTGGGTGCTCCATGGAGGAAGAGGCTGGCCTTAAGTGGGAATGCAGGCCATCCATCCAAGGAGGTGGGTTGAATCAGTGGTGGTAATAAAGGGAAATTCTCTTTTTGTCTCTTCTGTTTTATTTTTCAGTGAAACAAAAAGCAAAGTTGTCACCTAAGAGAGGAGGGGGAAGGCAGATTGTGGGTTTCAGGAGAGAGGAGGTGTTAAATAATCAGCAGCAGGATCCCTGACAGTGGTTTGAAAGGCTCTTGGTTTTTTGGTTTTTTTTTTTTTTTAACCTTGTTGTTGGCTCAGCTTTTTTGAAAAAGCTCACTGTCGACATTATTAACGATCTCAGGGTGTTTTGTAGAGAGAGGATTCCACAGCTTGAACACGGGCTTTCCCCTTCCTGACTCCACATTCCTTGGATTTTTTTGTTTTTCTCATGACCTGAAATGGTTCCTGGGGCCATGAGCTCAGAATCACTTTCATTTGCTCTCCATTCTTCATCCTATATATTCAATGGTGGAAAAAACCCTGGTAGAGGAATTAACAGACCTGGATTCTAGTCCTGACTCTGCCACTTACTAGTTAGGGAAGCCATTTAACTTCTCTGTGCTTTTTAGATGCCAGAACCATAAATCTGAGTTGATAAAGACCCAGTGCTCTAGTTAGTCTATACAACTCTATCCTAAGTAATTTTAAGATTTCTATGGAGAGTTTTGAAATATTGAGAATATAGTGGGGAACCTCATGGCAGTCCTTACAGACCACAAAGGACTTGGCAACTCCAGGGATAGCCCAAAAGGAAGAGGAAGAGCCTCCAGCCTGTCCTTCCTGATCCACAGACACGATGTTTTCTAAAGGCCTTAATAATAAGGGACTCTCTTCTCCTTCCCACAGGTGGGCGCATGATGAACTGCCCAAAGATCGTCCAGCAGTTGGGAAGTGATGTGCTGCTGCCCCTGACGCATGAAAGGATAAATGCAAGCATGAACAAAAGCATCCACATTGTCGTCACAATGGCAAAATCACTGGAGAACAGTGTCGAGAACAAAATAGTGTCTCTTGATCCATCTGAAGCAGGCCCTCCACGTTACCTAAAAGACCGCTACAGGTTTTATCTGGAGAACCTGAGCCTGGCTATCCGGGAAAGCACGAAGAAGGATGAGGGGTGGTATTTTATGACCCTGGAGAAAAATATTTCAGTTCAGCGCTTCTGCCTGCATTTGAAGCTTTATGGTAATAATGGCAGCTTCCCCAGTCCACACTAGAAGGGCAAAGTGCTCCTTTGACCAAGGATTTAGGTCTCTCTCAAAAGCAAAGGGTATTCAGAATTGGAAGTAACTTGAATGATCTTCTAATTCAAGGGTATTTAAACCTGTTGCTTGGAAGACGTTTTAAAGGTTGACATTTTTTTTTTCCAAATTGTACGTTGATGGTAGCTGATTAAGCATTAGTTACTCTTACTCCCATTTCCCAAAGAAAAGGAGGCCAGCTCCCTGTGGGCTGGGGGACCTACATCTTCAAGAATCTTGGTTTGCAAATAAGATTTTATTTGAAAATAGGATTTTTTTTTCTGATTAAAAAAATTGAATACCACAGATGAAACCCAGCCTCTCTCATACACGAAGACACTGAAAGCTAGTGAGAAGCGGTTAGCACATTTACACACATTTGTGTGGGTGTTTCACTGCACTGGGGTTCTGGATAAAGAAGGCTGAAATCCAGCCCACATGCCACTTGCTAAGCCCTGCATTCCCATACCAGATCACACCTACCTGGTGGAAGGAGTGCCTTTTCACATTTAAACAAAGGCTTTGGTTATAAAGTCTCTTAGTTGCTGTACTTAAACTAGGAACCAGGTCCACCTGAATCCAAGGCCAGTGGTTTTTTTGGGCCTCTTTAACTTCCACTTCCTCTTGAGTGCACTCAGGGATTGTGTCTCTTAGACCCAGAGGCTCATCTGAATTCCCAGGGGTCCTGATAGCCATGTGGGGCTTTTCTGTTTCTTCAAAATGACATCCTTATCTCTGGGGATAGGACAGGAATTCCCGCCTACCTAGCATTTGTTTGAAATTCTCAAATATCTAGAGGGAAGACAGCAATACTTTCACACGTCCTCCCTCGCCCCGGCATTTCCTTCCTTCAAACAGTCCCAGCAGAATTCCCCTAGACACCTGAGAGTCACTGCAACAGTGACTCCGGGGCAGGATTGCCATGAGCATGGAGGCTGCACAGGATGCATTTTCCAAAACAGTGTGGATGCCACACATTCCATCCTTTTGTTCCTAGTTTCCTGTTTTTGTCACATCTGTGATCAAATTCTTACTTTGGAAAATGTGGCCTCTGCAACCATGGCATCAAGCCAAAGGAAGAGTTTGGCTTTTGCAGTAAGACAGTTCTAGGTTCAGATCTTCACCTGGCCACTTAGAAGCTGGGAGATGTAAGACATTCCACCTCCCTGGGACTTGGCTTTCTCATCTATGAAATGGGAATAATTATAACTAGAGTTATAATTGTTGAGAAGATTTAAAAAGATGATAAATGAGCACTGCGCTTGTCCTATAATAGTTGCTAAATAAGCAAGATTTTACCTTTTAGCCGGCCTATTTCATGGCCTTAGAGTGGGATAGACTGATGGGGTCTATGGTTATAATTGAGGACCTATCTCTATCTCAGACACACAAAAGCACTTGCTACACACGCACCCACTCACCCATGCACAGGCATGTGTTTGCACGCGCACATGCACACACACATGCATACACACACACACACACACACACACACACCCTCCCACACACATCACTCTAGATGAAATCCCACCACTAAAAAGTCATTCTTTTAGGTCTGGGAAGTAACAACATAAGCCAATTAAAAGCCATAGTGGATTAGTTGACAGCAACTCCACTGATAGGAGACACGAGAATAGCAACCTAGGTCAAGAACATCAGTAAAGGCGAATGAAGCCCTAACGGTATTGGTAGAAGGGGCCTAAAAAGCAAACTCTTCTTTCCTAGTTTATCCCACGGTCATCTTAGAAAGGGTGTAGCGGGCCATGAGGAACAGTGTGAAGCAATAGAGTCCCCACTAGAAATAAATCACACTGAGGGAGAGGGAGAATGCCATTAGTCTGTACTTTGTCCTAACAAAAAGGTCAAGTGAGAATTCCCAGGGGTTCATTTCAGTGATGGCTCCCTTCCTCCTACTCCTGACAGAGCAGGTCTCCACTCCAGAAATTAAAGTGTTAAACCAGACCCAGGAGAACGGGACCTGCACCTTGATACTGGGCTGCACAGTGAAGAAGGGGGACCATGTGGCTTACAGCTGGAGTGAGAAGGCGGGCACCCATCCACTGAGCCCAGCCAACAGCTCCCACCTCCTGTCCCTCACCCTTGGACCCCAGCATGCTAAAAATATCTACGTCTGCACTGTGAGCAACCCCATCAGCAACAGCTCCCAGGACTTCGTCCCATGGCTCAGATGCAGGAAAGACCCCTCAGGTGAGTGCGCTGGTGGCAGCCTGTGTGCCACCTTAATGAGCATGGGCTCAGTCTTCACCTGGCCCAGTTGCTCCCCAGCCATGGCATTCACCTTAGTAACAATACTTCACATATTCTTTATAGTTTGCAAAAGTTGTCCTTGTGCATTTAGTGAGCTCACTCTCATGTTGACCAGGGTGGCATTATTATGCCCTGTTCACAGTAGAGGAAACCGACAGGAAATGATACAGCCAGACCAAGAGCCTAAGACTCCAAGGCACAGCCTTCTTCTCTGCCTCTTTCCTTGGCTCCAACCTGCAAGGCTGGCTGGGTGAGGTGGTGTAGGTGGGAGGCCTGGCTCCCAAGTCTATGCTCTATTAATGCTGGGGCAGTTCTACACCATCAATAAGTATTTATTGATCACCTGCCTGATACGAAATGGTGAATAAATATTATATGTGAACTCTAACAGTTCCTTGTAAAGATAAGACATGAAACATTTGCTCGATAGTGAAGCACAAGACATAATGAAGGGCCTTGTTTCATGGAATGGACTTGTTTATGGGAATGAATCCCATAGCAGGACCAGGGGAGTCAGAAAGAGAGACTAAGAGTTGGACTGTGAAGTTTGACGAATAATGATAAGTTGCATAGCGCTTTATCATTAGCAAAGCACTCTCAACTATATAATCTCTTTTGATCCTCACAATAGCCTTGCCAGATAGGTGTTATTATACTTTCATTTTACAGATGAGGAAATTGACGTTCATAGCATTTAAGTACCCTCCTCAAGCTTTTAAAATTGTAAATAGTGGAGTTAGCCCCTAAACCTAAATCTTCTGACTGTTCTTTCTCTAGAAAGAAAAGTGTCATTATTCTGTCAGCAAAAGGAAGAGAGAACTTAATAAGTAAGCCCATCTAACCGCTTGGATACAGGATAGAACACAGGCCCTTTTCACCAATAGATCTTGTGTTCCTGCCTCAGGCAGGTTCAGGGACAATAGGACCAGGGTGCTTGCTCTGCAAGGCATTGCTTACACTCTGACTTTCTCCTCTCTGCATCCACTGTGGGTACATAGGAATCACTCCAATGGGTCTTCTGCCCACAGTAGCCATGGTGCCCATGTGGAGGGCTTTCCCAGGTGGTCATGGATGAGGGGACAGGGGAATTCAGCCAAGTAATGCCCTTCCACATAGCACTACCTGTCACAGAGACTCCCCTGGAGTATTCCCAGATAGACTGCTGGGAAATCCCACCTGGCCTCCTGTGTGCACCTGGGAGTGCTTTAGTGAGTCTAATCCACTGCTTATGTTTCTTCCCCAGCCATTTCATACCCAGAGTCCCCAATCTGTTCGCTTACTGGCTGTGTCTGGCTGCTTGCCCACCTTGCAGACAAACCACATTCAGAGGCTAATCCCCAGTTCAGAGCGCTCTCCCCACCCAGTCATTTAGAAGGTGCTGGCAGGACAAGCACGCAGTGCAACATAGTGGGTAGCTTAGAGAATGTGGCCCCGGAAGTTCTAGAGCCAATGCTGCCCTCTCTGCTTACAAGGGTAAGTCCCTCAACCCCTCTGAAATTTAGATTCTTCATCTGTAAATAACAACAACTGGTGGGTCATTATGGTTTACTAAGTGCCAGTTATGTGGTATCTCAGTTAATCCGCACAGCAACAAAATAATATAGACAGTATTAGTATCCCACTTCACAGATGAGGAAACAAAGCTATAGAAATGTTAAGTAAGGTCACACACAGAGCAAGTGATGGAGCTAGGCTGTCCGATTCTGGAAGCCTTATAGGTATTGATAATGCACCTAAAATGCCTTATAAACCATAATGAAAGTGTAATTTTAATTATAAAGCCTACGAAAATACAATGTATTTTTAAAATTTAAATGAGGAGGCAGTAACCCTTACCTCAGCACAGCCCTCTCTGGGTATAGCTGCCCTATAAGAGTGCAAAGACAGGACACTGAATATTTTCCCCTGGCCTATCCCCAAAAACGGGCAGAACTTTCTTCATGCTCTTCGATGTAGTTTAAAAAGAATTTAATTGGTGCATACCAAAATGTTGGTGGGCCATGAAGCTCACACTAAGGGCACTTGGCTCAGGACGTTCTGAGAAAACACATGAAGATGCACTTACCCATCTAAGCCACTCTGAGGACCAAATATACACCAGTGGGAACCTGATTTACTGAGTAGGAAGCAGGTTCTTGCGAGGAACGAGGGACAGGAAGCAGTAGAAACCTGGTACCACAGGAAGGGCCCGGTCAGTTAAGAGAACTGTCCAGCTGTTTCTCTCTCTTGGGTCTCTGTTTCATCCTCTGTAAAATGAAAAGGGCGAACAAGCGAAGTCCCTCCCAGAGTCGACAGTCCTTGATTCAGTGTGTGTGTGTGTGTGTGTGTGTGTGTGTGTGTGTGTGTGTGTGAATAAGAACGCAAATAGAGGCTTGCCACTGTGTACAGGTTTGCTAAGGTTGCTGTAACAAAGGGCCGCACGCTGACTCAGTTACTCGCACAAAGGACCGAGTGGCTTAAACAATCAAAACGTATTGGCTCTCGGCTCTAGAGGCTAGAAGTCTAAAGTCAAGGTGTCCACAGGATCGTTCTTCTCCGAGGGCCGTGAGAGAGGGATCTCTCCTGGGTCCCTCTCCCTGGCTTGTCAATGGCTGTCTTCTCCTTGCCTCTTCACATTGTCTTCCCTCTGTGTGTATTTCTGTGTATTTCTCCTTCTTCTAAGGACACCAGTCACATTGGATTAGGGCCACCTCTCTTAGTTTGCCAGGGCTGCCATGATAAAGTACAACAGATTGGGTGGATTAAATAACAAAAATTAAATTTTCTCCCAGTTTGGGAGGCTGGAAGTTCAAGATGAAGGTGTTGGCAGGTTTGGTTTCTTCTGACGCCTCTCCCCTCAGCTTGCGTATGGCCACCTTCTCACTGTGTCCACACCTGGTCTCTCCTTTGTGTGCCCACACCCCGGTCTCTCTCTCCTCTCTCCTTTTCCTGGTGTCTCTTTGTGTGTCCACATTTCCTCTTCTTATACGGACACCAGTCAGGTTAGATTAGGGCCCACCCTAATGACCTCTTTTTAATTTAATAACCTTTAAAGACCCTGTCTTCAAATACAGTCACATTCTGAGGTCCTGCAGGGCTTCAACATAGAAATTTGTGGGGAGACACAATTCAGCCCCTGACACCACTCTAATGACCTGTTTAACTCTATTAACCCTGTAAAGATCCCGTTTCCAAATAAGGCCGCAGTTTAAGGAAATGAAAGTATTAATTTGGGGAAACACAATTCAACATGTAATACAAGTAGAGACGCCCCCTCCCCGCCCTGCCATCCTGCAGGGATTGGGGACCAGGCCCTGCCTCAGAACCAGATCACACACCTGATTTGTGGCCTGCCCTTCCCAGTATACCAGGTTGCCTAAATACTGAAAACAGAATTTTTTTAGGACGTTGATTTGTGTTTGCAAATGCATAATGAATACTACCAATCCTTAAAACACTGCACTTAGTTTGACAAAACATTTACTGAGTCTCTACTATGTTCCAACATTGTGCTAGGGGCTGAGTACACAAACACAAAAAAGACATGATCCTTGCCTTAAGGCAGAAGACAGCTGTATAAGTAAATAATGATCCTAGATTAGACAGTGGGACTGACGTAAAACAGAAATATATGCAAGGCAACAAAGAGGAGGGAATTATTATTAGAGAGGGCATCCCAGAGGATGTGACATAAACTGGGTTTTAAAAATAAGTAGAAATTATCCAAGCTGATGAAAGACATTCCAGGCAGAGGGAGGAGCAGATACAATTGGGTCTTGCTCTGTATTATCTTGTAGGTGATAGGAAGTAATACGGAGTTTTAGATAGAGGGGTGTCACCAACAGTCTTGCTTTTCAAAGAGAAAATCCACTGGTATAGAGAACAGACTGGGGCAGAGAAGACGGGGAAGAAAGGGGAACTGCTTTCTGGGGGCCATTATTGCAGTCATCCATCAGAATGATGAGACCTGAGCTGAAGCAGCAACTGTCAGTCAACAAAAACTTTTTTCCTAGGGCACTCAAAGGGACATTCCAGCCTTGGGGTGAGAGGGTGGGGGTCTGAGGGTTTATTAGAGGTTGCTTCACCATCTGTCATCAGGACAGTGATTTTAAGACATTTTTCATTTTCATTAATGAAAACCTCCCTGTGGTTAATGATGTGATGAGACGGAATGCAATGTGATGTCAGCACTGTCTCTTGACAGGACTCACTTAAGTTAAACGGTGCAAAAATGTCTATGTTCCTTGAAATCTTTTTCTTTAAGTGACATTTGTCCAGGTCACATACTCATCTTTGTTCCAATCCCCATTTCAGTGTTTTAATGTCTATCATAATGAAGCATCTTTATCGCAAAGTCTGAATCCTAGGGTGCCATGGAGTACTCTGGCTAGGTCATGTGAAGCCAGTGGATGTGGGTCAGCTCTGGACAGTGTGTGACTTGCTGCCATCCTCAATGACTGTATTCTGAAATAGATACAGTTGTGCTAGAATGAAGGAATCTAAAAAGAAATGCCCCTGGAAGCTCATCTTGAAGAGAGGATCTTTTTCAATAGATGAGCAAAACGCTGGCTCAGCATGTCTGAGTTAACTCAGTGAAAGAAAAGGCTGGCACCTCCCAGTGAGCTCCGGAGCCGTCCCCTTTCTAACAAGGTCATTTCTTCAAATAGGGAGTTCCCATTGTTTCAGAGTCACTTAGAGGTTCCAAGCACAAAGACAGGTCTCTCTCCAGGGTCTTCCCAATTTAGCGAGCCTAACAATGGTGGAAAGAAGAAACCTGGAAACTTCCCACAGCTCAGAGCCTGGTCATGTTGCCACACCCACTCCAAGGGAAGCTGAGACACATCTCTCCTAGCCAGGCAACCTATAACCAGACAAGACTCGTGTTGCCATGAAAGCATGAGAGAAATCACATTGGAGCACAACCAGTAACCTCTGCGATGCTGGGTGGGATAGGCAGGTTG